ACTGTGACGTGCTTGATGAACTTTTATGCATGTAAATAAATGTTCTTGACCTATTGTATCCATTTTTACTTTGTTTCAGACCATTAATTTTACTGGTGCAATTCTTTTATTTATTTATTTATTTATTTATTTATTTATTTATTTATTTTGCACAGTTATGGCCTATGTCTTGACAGGTTCATTTGATGTGTTTCTCCGTTATTTTACGTAACTTTAAAACTATTGTAGGAGTGGCACCTCTGTTTCTTTGGCTTCTTTTGTACCACTGAATTTAAAACGTGAGCAAGACCAGATAATATTCTTTAAAAAAAACATTTAGTGAAAAACAAAATTAACATGGTAAAACTCTGTCAAAAAACTCTGTTGTTTCCTGCATGTCTGACTCTTCAACTAGCTTATGCACAAAAAAAAAATCCAGCTAAATAATTGAACTACGGTGTGCAGGAAGCCCAAAATACAAAACATGCATTAGAATTTCACATATTTATATTCTATGTCTTTTACATAAGTGTTTGTAAATTTACAGGAAATTATATTTTTAACAACAAAAATATATAATTTTTCTTTTTAAAACATTTTTACTAGTAACAATAAACTGCCCATAGCTCTTACAACTATCAATACACATAAAAAAACAGACCTTTCCACGGTTTTGGCATTGGAGTAGTTTTTAAAACACATTGATGCTTGTGGAGTTGCAGGAGTGAGGAGATAGATTTTATGTCTGGAATGCATTCTCACGGGGGACTTGTCCAGAAATAATGACAGCTCAAGAATGCTCTAAATTCTGCCAGAGCATGTAAATAACATCGCCGCCCCGAGGCTTGTGACAGTACAGATGCAGCAGCCTTAACCTGGTGCCTCTACTCAAGTAAGCACTTGCTTCAGTGGCCACACGTGTCATCTCTTTGTCTCAGGGAGACACGGCAAGTTTGTGCGGTGTGAGACGAATGTTTTGAGGCCATAGTCAGTCATCCTGCGAGCCTCCTGAATTAGGTTCCAGAGTTCAAAACAAGATCCTAAAACCTGATAGCTTAAATCCTGTGACCCATATACAGAGTTCTCTCCTTTCTGTTCCCCCCTTCATGGTGTTTTTTCTTTCTGCTTGTTTTTCACCCTTTCTCCCTCAACCTTACATTCCACCACTTTGCTGGTCACACGGGCCAGATGGGTTCGATTGCGTCACACCTCCCCTCCTTCCTCCTCCATCCCTACCTTCCTTTCTTCCTCCCTTTTCCTCTCCACTCTCCTGTCCTTCCCTGCTCTCCTCCGCGCACATCTGTCTTTCGAGTCCATTTATAAACTTCGCGTACCATCATCGATATGAGCTGCCGACCTCGGTCAAAACGACCTGAGCAGATCCGGACGAGTCAGAAAAGTACAGGCAGGCTGAATATAGACGGCACTGACAAATAACACGCTCGCATCCCCCCTTCACAAACATAGACATACACCCACGTAACATCTGCTGTGAGACACTGAACGCAGTCAACTGACAGAGCCGTATTAGTGTAGCTAAAAAGCTGTGTTTCCTCTAATCTTTGTCAGCATGTTTAGGGCTCTTTTTTGTGATTTTTTTCGTTTCATTTTTGCAAAAACCAATGAGGGGCCAGCGATGCGCTTGCCTAATTCTTCCCCTTTATTTTTTTTTACTCAAAGGCGGCGTGTTTGGTTGCTTCATTTGCAAAGTGAGATTAATCATCTGTCTCCCTGAGTGAACTGTTAATCTAAACAGGCGGTCATTAATGTCATCTTAATGTTTGCTTATGATCTACTGCGAGGTTGGTCTCCGGCAGGCGGCGTGTTGATATCAGGAGAAATCTTTCATAGCAGGCGTTTGGATAGAGACAGGGGAGGCGGCTTTATGGTTTAAGAGGTTAGGTGTAATTTAAAATCATTTGACTTTGCAAATCCTGCAGAAGCAGCCAGACTCTTTCAACGTAAATAAAGTGAAGGACTTCTTGTCATTATGAGACAATTAAAATCATCTATTTTGCACCAGAGCCCAATAAATTGTCATAGCCATAATTATTTTCAATACGTGCAAATGGACTGCATTTATATTGCACTTATTTTTCTCTTGTTGACATCTTAAATTTCTTTTGAATGCACTCCAGATTTTTCATTGGCAGGGAATCGTAAATCACTTGTCTATTCCATACGACCAGTTTGTATCTTTATCAAAACATTTTACACTTTGGAGATTATCGCATCATGGAAAATTGTGAGGTCCGGTATCTTGTCCAAGAAAGTTTAAAAGCTAAAATGGATGGCCTGTGTGTCAACCACATTTTTTCCACTAGAAGAAAAATAATACCTTTAAAAACATGATACAGGCCAATCGCTTGTCAGATTAGTGTTGGATTGGCCAAGAGCACAACCAGTTTAACTAAAATATTTCATATTTTTACTGTAAGGTTTGTAACTTTTCATCTGGTACAAAATCTCGTATTTAATTTAATTTCTGCAAAACAAATTGCATTCCTCTAAGCTTAGCTTAGCTTTGTGCTTATTGATAATTAATGGACTACACTGTGTTTTCTACTAAAATAAACACATAGTAAATGAATTTACTAGTCAGCATTCTTCATAACCAGTGTTAATGGTTTGATTCCAAGTCCTCTTATGTCCTCAAAACATTAAAATATTTTACAGGCAGCTATTACAAACACCTATTTTTCTTGGAGCTCTCAATTAATTTTCCGTTTAAATGTAGGTCTTATACCACTGTTTCTTGTTCTTCTGCTTCTGCAAAGCCTCCAACCTCCCACAACTTCAAAAGTTCACATTTCCTCCCCAAAAAAAGTCTGGTTGATGAATATTAGAAAAAGCTCAACAGGAGCTTTAACTTCAGTTACATAAATATCAGCTAGTGTTGTTTTTTAAAGATATTTAACCATTTTTCACATTTTCACTCAGATTCTGTTTTATCCTCTTAATTTCTACAGTAAAGAAAAATAAAATTGGCACAAATGCGATAACATAAGTGAAGCACACGGAATAATGATTCACATAAACACCTACAAATCAGGAGTGAGACTCTGATCCAGTAGGACTTTCCTGTTAACAGAGTTATGTGTTATAGCTGCTGTGTGGGCATTGGCTCTGAGCTCAGCTCTGTCCTGGCGTCCGGCCCACCACAGTGGGAGTAGAACTGTTTTGGTTCTGTCTCTTGTAATTACAGTAACCCCTCGCTTCTCGCTCTTCAAAAGCAAACTATAAAGTGATAATAGACACAACTGAATTGTGTCAGACTCCAGGGAGAGAAATGAGAAGCTAATCTAATAACGGGCCCGAGCCGTACATCTGGCCCTCAGGCTTTACTGGGAGATGGAGCGATGGTGAAAGTTTGGTTTTGTGGCTGGTCATTTATTTTGAAGATTGCTTCTGTTGAGGTCATGCACCATTGTTTGGTTTGTCTTACTGTAGGTTTTGCACAGTGCAGCGCGGTGACGCGGTATTGCTTTTAGCTGAGGACTTGGTGTTCCTCTTGAAGTGGCTGTTTTTGCAAGCAGCGGCTGATCTACTCTTCAGACCCCTCTAATGAAAAATAACAACTCACTCTCCAAATACGTCTCGACACAAAATACAGGAGGGACCGGAGCGTTGGTCCAGTGGTGGGCGTTTTCTGTTTAAAAAGTTACGGCTCGGTACGTGATTGATATCTCCTCGAACCTGTTTGCTGACTTTTCCTCTTTCTGTCGAGCATTTCTGGGCACCTTCTTTTTGCTGGAACCTCTTGAAGCATAGATGCAGAGCAAAATAAATGTGCACCATCTGAGACTGCAGGTTCCAGCTGCAGTGAGGATATTTTGTTTCGATTCAATTCAATTTATTTGTGTAGCGCCAAGTCACAACATACGTTGTCTCGGGGCACTGTACGTGAAAAAATAACAATCTAAAGAAGAAACCAGCAGATTGTGTTGAATCACTTCATCACAGTGTCCCATCCTGAGCAAACTGTGGAGAGGAAAAACTCCCTGCTAATCAGGAAGAAACCTCCAGCAGAACCAGGCTCAGGACAGGCGGCCATCTGCCTCGACCGGCTGGTTGAGGGACGGGAAAGAGACACAGAAAAACACAGAAGAACTGGTCCAGGTGCACCTTCTTCTGGAAAAGAGACAAAAAGAAAAACGTTATTGATAGAAATAATTATAATAAACATGTAGAGAAGATAGACTAAAGACAACAGCAGGGTGAGGAAATGTGATCAGTTTGTGCTCCAGCAGTCTAAGTCTATAGCAGCAGAAATGAAGAATAATTCAGGAAACCTAAGTCTAATTATAGGGTTTATCAAAAAGGGAAGTCTTCAGTCTAATCTTAAAAGCAGACAGAGTGTCAGCTTCACGGACAGAAACTGGAAGTTGGTTCCACAAGAGAGGAGCCTGATAACTTAAAGCTCTGCCTCCCATTCTACTTTTAGAAACTCCAGGAACCACAAGTAAACCTGCAGTCTGAGAGCGAAGTGCTCTGTTAGGAAAGTATGGAACAATAAGATGTTTAATATATGATGGAGCTTGGTTGTTAAGAGCTTTGTATGTTAGGAGTAATATTTTAAATTCTATTCTGAATTTGACAGGGAGCCAGTGGAGAGAAGCTAAAACTGGAGAAATATGATCTCTCCTTCCAACTCTCATTAGAACTCCTACAGACTCTTTCTGATTTCCATCAATTTAAAATGTGTGCTATTTTGTTTATTTCAGCTGTGAAACTTGTGTTTTAATCGACTAATGAGGCAAAATGGTTTTAAAAACTGCATTTAAAAACCATGCATTGTAGATGTTAGAGACTCTGCTGCTTCCCTCTGCAGGGGTCACTASAGCAAGCAAACTCACATGAAAGATTTGGTATTTGTTTTACGTCGGATGCAACCCAGGCTTAACTTGCAGACCACAGCACTGACCACTGATCAAAAATATTGTCACAGACAAATCAGGCTTCAAATATTTTTATATTAGATTTTAAAAGTTGTCCTGACTTGATGTTTTTGTTTTTTTTAGCGGCTGGCTGCAGGAGTGAACCAGTTTGCCTACACCTGCATCCAGGACCATCCCATCTGGACCAGTCAGCAGTTCTGGGAAGCAACTTTCTACAGTGAAGTTCAGAGTCAGATCCGAGCCCTTTACCTCAACACTCCAGAACAAAACAGGGGCGTCATCACCAGGTTAAAGGTAAAGAAATTAAAAAAGGGACTGGTTTGGTACCAAAATAAAGTCTTTTATACTTAACCGTCCTAATGCAKATTAGAGTAGAAAGGATCGAACCACGAGTTTCTTGATGGAGTTGAATATAACTGTGCAGGATGCGGGCCCCCCGCCTGCTGGAGGTYGCGAGGAGCAGCGGACCGCCATGGCCTTGGCGGCCGAGCAGCTCCGCTCGTGGCCCAGTCTGAGCAAGGAGAAGCAACAGGAGCTGGTGAAGAACGAGGAAAACACCGTGTTCAGCCAGGCCATCCACTACGCCAACCTCATGGTTTACCTGCTGGTTCCTTTGGACACCAGCAAGAACAAGCTCCTGCGCAGCGCACCTGCTGCAGACTGGGAAAGTGGCAGCAACAGCATCGTAACAAACAGGTCAGTGGCTTGATCTACGCTGCTTTAAAAGTGGCGCTTTTTTTTCAACCGTAACGTCACGAGCTTGTTCAAAATAAGTTAAGGTAAAACAATCAGCTGTGTTTGGAAGAAAGCTTTAGTTATGGTTTTGTGATCCACGAGGCTGTGAGCCTCTTTATAATAAGGTGATGATAAGCACGTGGGTGGACGTGGCATAACTCCAGTCAACATGATACTTTTCTTTCAAGCCAAACTGAATGCAGCTTACTTTTCTGTTTCCGTCCCAAATCCATCTCGCAGGCTCACATTGCTGCTTCACAAAACAGTGTGACTCATTTTTATCCGTTCAGACATTTAAAACTCTGTTTTGTCTTRCTTTCTTTCTAACTGGGCTACACCCAGTGATTTTCCTCTGCTTTGCAATAACTGTGGAGAGAATTAAACATGGAAAATAATAATAATGTCTGTGGGGTTATACTGGAAGAAATTCAACCAAAAAGGTATTGATCTAAATTTTCAGACATTGCTCCTAACACAAATTTTCTAATTTTTGTTATAGTATGTTTGTTTTGTTGTTATATTTGGCCACAGGAGATTGTTAGGATTTTGTTTTGTTTATTTCTAATGAGATTACGAAAAATGTTTCAGACGAGAGTTTATTTTTGTAGCAATTTTTGGGGTGTTTTGTTCACAGTTTTCTCTCCCAGATGTGTTTGCGCTTCATAGAGAACATTCTGATTTCATCACTTTGTATTTTGTCTACCCAAGAAACGGCTGCATCACCACTTCACGGAAAACATTCCTCTTAGATAATCTAATCCGAGCGCCTGAACTAGCCATCAACACTTTGCTTGTGTTCGACCGAAAACTGCTCTCGCATTCTCCGCTCTTTAATCAGCGTGCACGCTTAAAGCCCTGTYTCTGTCAGCACACAGTTCTCCTCCCTGGACACGGGAGGTTTGACCTTTCTCAGTTTCACCCGTGTCATCGTGCATGCCTGCAGCATCGCTGGCAGCGTGGCGGAGAGCTTCGACACGGAGAGCGGCTTCGAGGAGTCAGAGAGCAGCGACGTGGCCAACTCTGTCGTCAGGTTCGTCGCCCGCTTCGTCGACAAGGTGTGCACGGAGAGCGGGGTAACCCAGGAGCACATCAAGAGCCTGCACAGCATGATCCCAGGTACGGCATTCGCGCCCAGTCCCTGCCCAGACTCCCTCTGATTTACACRGACATCCACATGGATGTTTGTATTCTGAGCTGGAGCCAACATCCACAGGASCCGATGAGCTTATAAACCCCTGACTTGTCAAATGGCCTGGGGAAGTGTGTACATGCTGTACATAATATTGTGTTTATGTGTTAACCGATCCTAACCTCTGACCCACAGGAATCGTAGCCATGCAGATGGAAGCTTTAGAGGCCGTTCACAGGGAGAGCAGGAGGTTGCCTCCCATTCAGAAGGTGAGAGAACTCCTGCATCTTTACACTATTTTATCCAATCAAAAAGCTTAGATGGTAATAAAAACACTTTATTTAAAAAAAGGGAGAGAGTTCTAAAGAAATGACAGAAAACTGTGCCAATGCATGTGATGTTTGTTTCATCAGAGCCTCAGGAAATCATGTGAAAATTGTGAAAACATTGACAAATATGACCTAATGCCCAGTGAGAGTATAACTTTTATTGCCTTATTCTTTAGTAAAGTTCTATATTTTTCTATTTTTATTTTTTTATTTCAAACTTTATTAATTTCTTAAAAAGCAACATTCCATGTACAATAAAAAAGAAATAAAATACAATGAAATGAAAGGCAGCGGAGAGAAGAAAAAAAATCTTAGAATATCTGCCCGTTTTTCCTCAAGTATAAATTCAAACAATAGTAATCTTCAATTAACAAAACAAAACAAAACTCTTCCTAGAACAACGATTTATATGAATGCACATTATACTATTTCATATCTCTTCAACAATCCAAGCTTTATCGTTCTCTTAAACATGTACAGTGATGTGGCACTTTTAACATCCTCTTCCAGATTATTCCACAATCTGACTCCTTGGATTGAGGTGCAYCGTTCTTTCAAACTGGTTCTAAATTTAGGTTTCATGAGCGTCTCTGTCCCCTTAAGATTATAACAGCTCTCTCTATTTGTAAAGTTTTTCTGGATGTTTAAAGGTAATGTATTTTTGTGAGCCTTARACATAACTAACAAAATGTTATAATCAAACAAATTGTGAAATTTCAACAGTTTCAATTTACAAAATAATATATTAGATGGATAATAGTAGTGTTTTCGAGTAATAACTCTTATTGCTCTTTTAAAACTATAATAAATATCATTATGTATATGTATTGTAATTTTAATGAAGGTTTTATGTTTTTTTTTTTTTTTGTCAAATGGCTAAATTTAGTCTCGTTATTTGTGTCAGTTTCAACAAATTTTTTTAATCATAATTGCACAGTTGATTTTTGATTCTTGCTGTCTTACACGTCAGCCAGCTCTTGGCAAAGCCAGCATGTTCTTGAATTCTGGGCTGTTAGCTGCAAGCAGTATGCCAAAAAAAAGTGCAACTCTTGACAGTGCACTCATGGCTAAACAGAGCGGTAGAAGTAATGGCTGCAGTAACACTACGGAGTTCTAATAAGTGCATAAGTAAGAGTTTGCAGAGGTAATAATGTGTGCCGGGACCGTCTGCCCCGTCTCACTTTTCATTCAAGGACAGATTCGGAGGCTGTAATTACCTCCGAGCCAGACCTCAGCTCCCTCAGGTCGGCTGTGGCCTCAGCAGGAAAAAAAAAAGCTGCAAACGATCTGATGTCCCTCTTCATTTGTTRCTGCGACAGAGGAACGAACGGGTGGTTCTGAAGCGGAAGCAATGAACTGTTAGTCGCGTCTCGTACGGTCGGAAAAATTAGCCGTAAAGTGTCAGCTGCTTCGTTAATCATGACAACACGCAAGTGCAGTTGACTGATTCTTGTTTGAGGCGTGAGCGTCTCGCTACATCTACTGTAACAGTTTTCTCTGCTCGTTTGGAAAAYCAAACACCATTAGCTTGTTCTTGGAAAGCGGTGCACTTCTGTCATTTCCCTTTGYCTGACTGGATGAGCCCAAACTTGCGACGTGCGTTCATTCTAAAAGGAATGTGAAGAAACGGTCATAAAACTGATGATTGAAGATTTTCAGTCTGATTGTTGGCAGATATAGCCGGAGCCGTGGGCTGAAAAATCACCACGGTTTTCATTTAAAAGCGAGATAAAACAGACTGAATAAAGGAGGTCGATTTTGTAATACGCAGCATTTGCACTGAGAGTAAAACTTTTGATTGTGATTATTGAGGTCTGCAGAGATTCAGCTTCACTTATCCTACATGTGAAAAATGCATCATGTCAGGGTCCAGATGTTTAGAGCATAATGTGAAAACCGATAGTTCCTCGGCTAAACAATCAAGACAAACAGAATTGTTTTTGCTCAAAATGAAGGTTACAAATTTTGCTTCYATAGCCGAGATGGAGATTTGTTCTGCGCAGAGGGGTTGGAGAGTGTTTTTCTTGGACGCTGATTTTAAAAAGCTTACGTGACGGTTGGTGCGTTTGCAGGGTTTGTGCTTTCGTCGATGATGCACTTAKGGTTTAAACTCCTCCAACGAGGCCGTGCGGTGCTCTGATTTGACATTAAAGTGATAAATTCGTTTCCTGCATCTGARTCTGTGACGCAAATGATTCTGTCAAGTTTGCTTCTAAAACGCCTCAATTTGAGGTGGGACGTGCTCGAAGACAGGTAGTGTTTTTTGTGTCTGTCCTGACTCGTAACTTGAGGCTTTCTCTTCCCTTCGTCAGCCAAAAATTCTGCGCCCGGCGCTGCTTCCAGGAGAGGAGTTYGTGTCAGAGGGGCTGAGGGTACTCRTGGATCCCGATGGCAGAGAGGAGGCCACAGGGGGGCTTCTCGGGGGGCCTCACATCCTGCCAGCAGAGGGAGCTCTCTTTCTTACCACATATCGCATCATCTTTAAAGGCATCCCCCATGATCCACTGGGTAAATACTGATGCTTCCAAGTCTTATGGAAATGTAAAGATACTTACATAAATTGACAAATTTTTACAAGTATTTTTTTTGCATTCACATATACAAGCTTAAATTTATTTATGTTATAATGTAATTAGTTGAATGATGTCATACGCCGTCATGTCAGTGAAGTGATCTGTGTTCCTGTCTCGGTGCAGTGGGGGAGCAGGTCGTTATCAGAGCTTTCCCTGCGGCAACGTTGACCAAAGAGAAGAAGATCAGCATCCAGAACCAGCTGCAGCAGAACATGCAGGAAGGTCTGCAGCTCCGCTCGGCATCGTTCCAGGTAAACAGTGCAACCCGTATGACGCAATACATCAGTTTGTCCCCTTGGGTATTTCATATGCATTTACTGCTTTACTGCTTGCATGAGTATGAAGGTTTGCACTGCAGTGTTTCTACAAACAAACCACTTGAATGGCCTCTAAGTGTGAACTCAAAAGGACCGAATTCCTTTAAATCTTTTTAATTAAAATGTCCAAAATAACAGCCAAGATGAGACAAGGAGGATAAAAAAAAACTATCTTTAAATTACAAAAAGTCAAAGAAAATATCTTTATATTTAGGGAAATTAACATAATACACATAATTTTACCCATTTTGTCCTATAACTGGCATATTTTCTTTAGACGTTGGCTCAGCCAAAGTGAAACAGGAAGTGACATCAAAGGGGAACTCTAAAAAAGAAAACTGGTCTTTTTTTATTGAAACAATATTAATTGAACTCTGACTCTTCATCTCTGATAGTGACTTAAATTAATCTAAAGAAACATCACATGCACACGCAGACATTCCCTGACGTCACTTCCTGTCACTTCCCATGCGAATATCTCAACAACTGTTCATCTCATTGACGTTAATTTGTTTTTGCAATGTTCTATCAATGTTATCTTTTCAAAAATGCATTCATATTTTTTTTACAAAAATTTGATGTCACAGACGCTTTAAAATCAAATAGAAAAACTGTTTTCATCAAAGTTCTTTAGATCTACTGTAAAACCTTTAACATTCAGGTTGCTGTTTGTTTTAGTGAATGATTTCTGTTTTCCACAGTTGATAAAAGTGGCTTTTGATGAGGAGGTTAGCTCCGAGACGGTGGAGATCTTCAGGAAGCACCTCCAGCGAATTCGCTATCCTCAGTCCATCTTCAGCTCCTTTGCATTTGCAGCAGGACAAACAGTTCCTCAGCTAATCCTGCCTAAACCAAAAGAAAGAAACACTGGCTTCAGGTTTGTAATGCAGCTTTACCAGAACAGGCCTGGGACTCGCTTTGTTTTTSTAAACGACTTAAAACCTTATAAATAAAAACACTCTCACTGCAGCTTCTCTGCTGTGTTCTGCCTCCTCACAGAACATTGTCAAAAACAATTGTCAAAGGAGCCAAGAGGGCTGGAAAGATCACCATGGGCCGAAGCAGCCAGAGCTCACTGAAGAAGATCGATAGAGGCAGTCGGATGACCTGGCATGAAGACGATGACATTTCAAGTGAGAGAAGTGAAACATTAATGCATCATGTGGAGAGATCGAAACAGACCAGAGAGAAGATTTACAAAAATTATTGAGGGGATTTTTTTGTGTGTGTGTCTGATTTAGTATCCGATGAGGGCGAACCACCACCCAGCAGCACTCTGAGAGCTTCAGAGAAGTCCACTATGGAGCAGCTGGTGGAGCAGTCCTGCTTTCGTGACTACCAGCGTCTGGGCCTGGGCACCATCACTGTCAGCTCGTCCCGATCCAAATCAGGCGATCAGTTCAGGATCACGGCAGTAAACAGGCTGTACTCCCTCTGCCGCAGGTACAACTGTCACTGAACACCCGCTGAGGCTTATTTCACCTCTCAGTCAGTCCAGAACCCTTCTGCTCTGTGATGACGTCACCAGTAGAACTTGCATTTCCTGTGAAAATGCAGTGTAAATGCTTAAAGCTGGAAGATCTTAGCTGATTAGCTGAACAAGCTAGAACTAACCTAAACATAGCTTTAAAAGAAAGTAACTGAAATAGCTGAAATTAGTACTAAGAAATAGTTTGCTGAATTAAGCAGTAAGAAGCTAAAATTATCACAAAAAAATCTAATTTGATAAAAGGTAGCTAAAAATAAAAAAAGTAGCTGAAGTTAGAAGAAAGCAGCTGAAAGAAGGACACAAAAGTTGAAATTATCAGAAGAATAGCAGAAAAGATCACAGTGATGAAATGAAAAAGCAAAAAAACAGCTCAAATCAGCAAAGTATAAGCCGAATGAGGCTTGAAATTAGAACAAGAAGTTTAAAAACAACAGAACTAAAACAAAATGTAAAAAGACCAGTAAAGATTTAAAAATATCTTAAAGAGCTTTAAGAGTGTTGAAAGCAGCTCCTTTAATTTTCTAAATGAAAAACACTGCAGAAAAAGTTCAATATCCTAAAAAGCATAAATTGCTAAATTAACAATAATCATATCCGGAATATCCTGAWGGAGCCGAATGTTTTGATATGAACTGTTGAAATAGATACGTGCCGGAAAAAAAATCTCTCATAACGCTTGTTTTACACTGAGAACCCTGTAAATCATACTTGTTGAGTTGATTTATTCTCCTTGTTCCTGTTTAGTAAATTCTTCGTGGTGAACTTTCTGTTTCTTTACGTTTTGTGAGGTTTTCCTTCACCGTCTCCTTTCAGCTACCCAGGGCTGCTGGTGGTTCCTCAGGGCGTGCAAGATGGCAGTTTGCACAAAGTGGCTCGCTGCTACAGACACAACCGTCTGCCTGTCGTGTGCTGGAAGCATCCCCGCACCAAAGCCGTGCTGCTGCGCTCGGGGGGCTTCCACGGCAAGAGCGTGGTGGGACTGTTCAAGTCTCAGAACCCTTCCTCGACAGGTGCGTCTCCGGAGCTGCAGGCAAAGACGTGTCGCCTAACAGCAGAAAGTCCTACTTTTTGTTTTGTTGTGTTTTTCCCTTCAGTGCCAGCCTCATCCTCAGATTCATCCAGTAGTCTTGAACAGGAGAAGTACCTGCTAGCCATCCTCAACTCCATCCCTGTTCACTTCAAAATGAACGGGAACAACACGCTGACCAACCGCTCCCTCGTCGGCCTCTCCCCAGGTACACATTTTTGTTTTGTTTTTTTAACATAAAATTAGGGTTTTTGAGCAAACTGGTAACATCCTGCTCCGTGTTCTTTACCATTTCTTCACGTTCTGCAGAAGGCCGTCACTCCTTCTTTCATTCAAATCACTTCAGTTTATTCCGTTCATTTAGTTATTAAAAAATGCAGCTTTTGTTGTTTTAAAGTGGACATGTCTTGCTTTTAAATCCTTCTTTTTCACATTTAAATCCTTCAGTTGGCCTCTATATGAAGTGAGAACTGCAATGCTTTGGTCTAATCTCCTCCTTACTGTAACTCCACAAGCCCCTCTTTTACCTCTCTTCTGAGGGGTGTCTCAACTCGTTTCGAGGCTGTCTCTTTAAATGCAAACGAGGCGCTTTACACTCTACCCCCCTCCAGCTTCCAGATCTATCCATTCTAGTTTGATAAAGGGGTTTACGACTGAATAGCGYCGCAGAAACATTTTATTTACAATTTAATTAAAAGATGGGAGAATTAAGACTAGTCCAGAACTTATTTGGCAGTTCTGTTGCTAAAACTGTGACGTATTAATTCAGAAAATGTAATAAAGAATAGAGAACACTGAACGGGTTGAAAAATATGACCCAAACAGAATATAAAGATATTTACGCAGCACCAGGAGAGATTAATATCAACTTTTCTGCACTCCTAGAGACTCAAGTACACAATAAAAAGCATTTAACGGCTATAAAATGTAGATTTTTCATGATATGTCCCGTTTAATGTTTCCCTGTTTTGTCTAATTCAACTAAAACATCAATGGTGGATTTTTATCGGTGGGCCGTTCAGGACAGTAGCTGTAAATGTGTAAATGGAAGATGGCCAATAATGTTATCAGTTAACTCTGATGGCTGGTGGTCAAAGTGAGGGGCATGAGAAAAGGGCTGCTTAAACCAAACAGAGCTAAACTCTTTGTTCTCTCGACGTGAACTTCTCCGGACGCCTCTCACACCTTTCCTTTTTCACCAAGACGAGCCGAGCCAAGTCAGGGGTTTCCATGTCATCTCCAAGTTCCCATATTCACTGATACTTTCTAAATTTAGCGTTTGTGGAGGTAAGCCATGATACGCCAACAGAGGCTTCATATTTAAATTAAAATCTATAAAATATTGTTGGTAATCTTCATCAGTCCTCATATTGTTCATGTCAGCTGATTAAACTGACTGATTCTGTGAAAGTATTCTGGCAGCTGCAGGGTTAACTATTAAACTCACTAAGAGAAATCTCTGTGAACATTTGGGCATTAGTTTGTGATTTACCCAGAGCTGCCTCCGCTGCTGGCTTTTCCCCTTCATGACCTGAATTTGCTTTTGGAGGGCGGGTCGGCCCTCGGCCGTGTCGTGGGAAAAATATTGTTTGTTTTCAAAAGGACAAGAGGCTACTCAAAGTTCATATCTGCCGATAAAGCGGGGAGAAAAAAAAGTGCACGGTTGCACTCCTCAGCATTATTTCAGCTTTCTGCTCCAGTTCTTTCTTTTTTTTCTGTTGTCAGGTGATTGTTTTCTTTCTTTTTGTGTGTTTGCGCTGGTCAGTGGTTACTTTTCACCTATTTATCTTTGTGTGTGTTTATGAAAAAACATGGTTGGAGAAACGCCCTATCCATTAGATGTGAGAGGAAATTTGTACAATAAAAGGTTATGCCAGGATCAAAATATGCCCAAGGGTCTCGGCTCGGTCCTTCGTCTCAACGTTTAACCCGGCCCTGTCTGTGTCCTGAATATGCTGAGCTGAAATACACACAAGTTCTCACTTGACCCTCGGTTTTCAGATCTTAACGAACAAAACGAACCGCTGTGACCGTAAGCTGAGATGAATAAATGTAGTGAGAGCATTCCATATGTGTAACGGTGATGCTGGTTTTAACATTCTGTGCCGATCTTTCGCCTTCAGGCAGTGAAAGAAAGACATCCAGGATATCAAAGATGGCTCCCGTCCATCTAGACATCCCATTCTCCAGCAGCTTCACCCGAGGAGGTGAGTGTGTTTCACCGTTTCCTACGATGCCAAACTTGTCGAGCGAGTTTCCTGCTGATAGGTGAAACACGAAACACTGAAGCTGTCACTCCGAAACACGTAATTATCATCGGATTCTTTGAAAAGAACAAAACTGTTAGTTTTATACTCCAAAATGTCTTTTTAGCAACAAAAAAAGCAATGTTTTTATGGAGAAAAAAATTTATTTCCACATGTGGGGGAAGAACCGCAGTTGGTGTRGACACTAAATGCCTCAGGCTGTTATTTACAGTGTTTGTTTTTCATGGGTTATCTCTTTTTTCCTATAATGCTCATAAGAATGAAGCGATAAGTGAATTTTTATTTTCCTCGAAGAAAKTGGGATCATCTTGTTTTTGTTGTGCCCTGCTGTTTTCCTGTCACATTAACGCTGCTGAAATATTATTCTCCAGATGAAAACTTAATGTTCCGTTAAGTTGATACATCATCGTGACTCTTTGTTTTGGAATGTGAACTCTTGGAAAAGAGATCCAGGAACTTTGTTCAGTGTTTTTTTTTTTTTTTTTCTTTTCTGCTTTGGAGTCTGTTCATGTCTGAGCTGTTAGTCACCGTTTCGGATGAAGGTCAAAGGCTAAAGCGTTGCTCAGACTGACTCAGCGTATTTTTAGTAAACTAAAAAAGGATGACACATCAGCTCTTTTTTTTTTCCCAAAGAAACACAAATGTTTTTTAATGCACAGAACTCTGAAGTGTGGGTTGTCAGTAATTCCTGGAACGTTGCTGTTTTTGTGAGGTTGGAGGTTATAATTTTTTTGACATTCACAAATAATTAGCATGAGATAACTACAGTAAAAACTGAAAGAGAGACATCACTAGTTACTCAAAACAGTTTGGTTATGAAAATAATCTGCTAAAAGACAAAGTTGACCACAATGATCTGTTAGATCTCAGATTGTGCGATGTTGACAACTCTCAGCCACTCCAAATGTTAAATATCTGTAAAATTAGCTGAGTTAAAAGCATTTTTGTAGTTGTTAAGTTTGATTAACTGTGGGAGCTATTTTAAATTGGGTTAACTTCAAATGTCAACAAGTTGGAGCTGGTTGCTTTCTGAATATATCATTTAATCCATCAACAGGTTCCTAAAATAGTTTGCTGTCAGACAAACATTATAATTTAATTTTATTTTCCTTAATAATTTTATTTAATTTTTTTCAAAGGTTGTAACAAAACAAACAAATAAAGACTCAGATTAGGGCTGCACAATATATCGAAAATGTATCGTCGTCACAATAACAGCCACACTGCATAAGCTGCAATAAATGGTTGGCTCAAAAGTTTGCATTTATGAGTTTTGTCACTCAGSTTGAGGTATTTCACCAATCAAATGGAGCCCTTCACATATTTGGCCAATTGGATGGATCTCTTCATATTTTCAAAAATTCATGCTGGAATGGAAATGATTTAGCCTGGCCCTTGCCTTCCTACGRAGTTCCGCTTAATTCTAGTTTCCCTTTTCTGCTCCGTCTGGGATTTCTCCCATAGACGAGGATTTCTTCAGGAGAATTTCATTCAGGCCAATCAGAAAACAGAAGGAGTGGTTTTGAACAACAACATTGATTTTCTGCGCAGTCTGCTCGTTAGTTTAGCAATGGCAGTAGAGGGAAGTGAGTGAATGAAGCCAGTCCATGTTGATAAGACTTTCAAATTAAATAAAATTTGCTCTCATTTACAGTCGTCTCGTTCGGCTCGGTACTTTTCTCCTCTCAGTAGGGTTGTTTACAGCACACACAATTTCCAGTTAGCTTCTTAGCTTAGCCTCCTTCTCAGTAAAGCTGGCGCACATGCGTTGTGGGTAAATCAGGTCCAGTCGTTTTAAACTTAAACAGAGGCCACGCCTCCAGGAAGCAATCGCTTCTCAATAGCTGAGAGTACAGACCCTCGTACGAAGCAAAGCGAGGGACAAGGGGCTGGTTTTTACCAGGCTTAGTTTTTTTTTTTTTTAGTTTGGCTGACATCCAGCAAGACATCAACACTACATGCTCATGTATTTGTTTGTTTATCACAAGTCATATCGTCCTGCAACAGCACTGTTATCGCACATCGCAGGTTTTACTACCATGCAGCCCTAGCTCAGAAACACCAACAAACCAGCTCAACAACATTATTACAAATAAATGCATAATAAATGTATAAATAAATAAGACAGTGGCTGAAGGAAAAATCTTTGGGATCAGAGTCCAGTTAGCTTAACTTAGGCTAAAGTGTCCTAGAAAAATGTTCTATATACTCTGAAAAGTGTCTTCAGAGCCGTTTGAAAAAACTATATTTGCAATAAAAATTGAGTAATAATTTAGCAGAAAGTTGATGGGTGTTGCATTTTTATACCGTTTATTGCTTCAGGGTTGTGTTTCCATTTTGTTTGCTGGGACAGTTTTACATTCCTGTAAATAAAACCTAGAGCACCTGTAAAAACAAGCTGTCCCTTTAAAATCACATTAACTTCCTCCCAAAGGGAAACATGTTCATCTGCCATCATAATCATGAGTAATAAATCCATGCATGCCGCTGTGWGACAATCATTCTGTTGATCATAGAACTTATCATACTGCTGCCGTCATATCATGTGGATCAGTTCATTTGATTTGCATGACTGTTTCATGTGTTTTTTTTAGTCATGACCATTATTTTTCTGATTTTAATTTTCCCCTCATCCTCTCTTCTGCACCAAACAACCAACCAGTGCTTGAGTACAAAGATAAACTGTTCACTCACTCACACCCAAAACCTGCAAGTAAGGAGAAAGTCCTCAATCAAGGTACAGTGAAACTGTCCTCCGCCGGTCTTCCTAAAGGCGCTGTCTAACACGTCCACGAAGTCCCGGCGTTTCTGCTTCCTCTAACACACACGAATGCTCACTAACCAGATTAAGCAGCGTAGCTCACCATGCTTCAAACCACTTACAGAGACTTTGTGGAAGGTTGTATTAATCATGGCTGACTTTGTGGGCGTCCCCTCTGGGAGCTGTGGTTTTTCACAGCCCAGAGTGGGCTCTAATGTGGTCATTCCCATTGTTGTTGTGTTGGCTCAGCAGTGCTGTGGTCAGCTAAGGGCCGCGTCCAGAGCGTGGAGAAAAGGAAGCCATTTGTCACGACACACACACACAAAAGTTATGATCCAGCAGCGTAGTCAAAGAGAACGGTTCTTGTAGGACTGTAAATACAAGCCCAAGTCCAAAAAGAGTTGGGAGGTTGTATAAAACGTGAATAAAAACAGAGTTTGCAAATCTCATAAATCCATATTTTATTTGCAATGAAGCAGAGTAAACTCATCAAATGTAAAAACTAAGAAAATTGTACCATTGCTTTTGGGAAATATGAGGTAAATCTTGAATTTTATGGCAGTGACACGTCTCAAAAATGTTGGGACGGAAGCAACAAAAGGCTGTAAAAGTTATTGATGTGAATAGTAAAACAGCTAGAGGAGCATTTTTTAACTAATTAGMTTAATTGGTAACAAGAGGACTGGGTATGCAAAGAACGTTTCTGGGAGAGAAGTAAAGAGGGTTCACCAGTCTGTGGAAAACCTTGTCTAAAAATATCAGAACTATTTCAAAATAATGAAAACTGTGAACACTTTGAATATCCCACCACTTACTGTTCATAAATTCACCAAAAGATTGCAAGAATTTGAAGAGATTTTGGCGCTACTAGGCAAAAAGTAAATTTTGTATGCCTGTGATGTTTGGGCCSTCAGGGGCCACTACATTAAAACAAGTCTGATTCTGYCGCATGGGCTCAGGGACACTTCCACAAATCATTGTCTGTAAACACAGTTCACCATGTCATCACACTGCTTACAGCTCTATCATGGAACCAGAGTTGTAAAGTAACTACCGGTAAGTGCAAATACTTTGTTACTGTACATTTTCACACAATTATCTGTACTTTCTACTCCATACATTTAAAAAAAGGCAAGAAGTAGAAAGTCATTACTCCTATTTTATTCCGGCTCGTTATTGTTAAAAAAAATTCTATCCCGATAAACTGTGCCTTTGAATTTAATTGTGGTTGAATGAGAAGTATAAATATATACCATTATGACACATATTAGTTTGTACACAATCAATCACAGCTGCACACCTTTAAAAATGTATTTGGAAAATCTAACTGCTCATTTTTACTCAGTACTTTTACTTTTAATACTTAAGTACATTTTATGTCAGAAATTTACTTTTGATAAGTACAAAATAAATCAGGTACTTTAAAGGGACAATATCATGTAAAATCACCTTTTTTGAGTTTTATATCATGTTATAATGTTATACTCTCATAGAAACATGCCCAAAGCCTTACTTTGACTCATTCATGCCTGRTTGAGAAATCCTGCAGCGTTTTTAGGCAGCCGTACTGAGGAGCAAAACGACAGGTGGGGACCAGAAACGCCTTTTGGGACCAGAAACACCTCTGGGTTGTGTCCTTTTGGGACAAGCTCCTCCTCTGGGTTGTGTCCTTTTGGGACAAGCTCCTCCTCTGGGTTGTGTCCTTTTGGGACAAGCTCCTCCTCTGGGATGCGTCTTTAAGCTGAGCTTCCTCATGACGAAATGCCCCCCGCCCACTCCACGACTCTGGCAGGCTAGGTGCTGACATGGGCGTGACCGAAGTGGTTGGATTTTCTTAAAGAYACAGAGACCTATTTCAAGACGCTTAGAAACTGTCAAGATGGGAAGTAAATTGWTTTGGGGATTTTTACAAACATATAGCTCTTTCATAAGCTGAAAATGTGACATAGTTACTTTATTTTAGTATAAAAATTGAAATATAGGCTTGGAAAGCACATAATATTGCCCCTTTAAGACTTTTACTCAAGTAATATTCTCAGAGGAGACTTTAACTTTTACCAAAGTAATTTTATGATAAGATACTTGTACTTTTACTCAAGTATCACTTTGTGGTACTTCATACAACACTGCATGGAACCATCCAGAAATTCCATTGTCTTTGTTGTTAAAATGGGCTGAGACAAAGAGAAAAACTGTTCTGTGGTCAGACATTTCCAAATTAGAGATTTTGTTGTGAGGAAACGACCAGTCCTCCATGCTAAAAACAAAAGGGTCCGGCTGCCTCTCTGATTGTATGGGGGTACATTAGTGCCTCTGACGTGAGCAGCAGTTTTTTTTTTTTTAAAAAGTCAGTGCAGAACAGTATTTACAAGTTTTAGAACAACATCTGCTCCCTTCCAGCAAAACAGACCCCAGACTGTTGAGAAACCAGAATCCGACAACAATCCCCTCCAAAAACTCCAGCAGCTGGTCGTCTCAGTTTTTGTTTACAGATTGTTGTTAAAAGAAGAGGGGACGATTGGTAAACATGGCCCTGGCCCAACTTTCTGAGATCTGTTGCTGCCATAAAACTCAGTTACCTTGTTTTTTCCAAAAAAAATTTTTTTTTTCCATTGTGAAAAAAAATGCAGTTTTATGAGAAATGTAAGTCATTGCAATCTGTTTTACTTTACATTAAAAGACAAACATTAAAACTTTTTTAGCATTAGTTGTGATGTAATGTTTATCTGTGACTCACGTCAGCTGTTGTGTTAATCTTATCAGGTGAGGCTTCAGGTGTAAACTGTGATCTTGTCTGTGAGCGTTGTTGCAAACAGCTTTGAAAACTCAGTTTCTCTACAAAATGTTTGGACATCCTGCGGGGAATTTCACCCAGCTGATTGGTTTATAAAGCTGACATTTATTTCAGTTTGATGTTCACATAACTTGAGAAATATTACTGTGAAAAATCACTTTCTTGCTGATGGTGAGTCACACTTTTTGGAAGTTGCTGCATGCTGGCTTCGTTGACTTGCTAAAAAAAAATCAAAAAAAAAAAAAAACAGCAACTTCTGCTTCTAATATCACCGTGCACCAGATTCACACAGGCTGTGTTGGTTGACGGACGACATGAAGGTGTTTACACGAACCCCACTGACCCTCCGTGCATGTGAAAGCAGTCTGCATGTGGAGCGTAGCTCGTTATTCSCTCTTTGTTTGTTTGACATCTTTTGTTTAGCCTTCAAACGCGACAGCTCCTGTCCCCGTGTGTCTAACGCTTGTTTGTAAATGTGTGTTGTCAGGCATGTGGGCCAGCCTGCGCTCCAGCAGCCGCCTCAGCCAGCACCAACCGGCTGACGTGGGCGCCAGGTTAGCGGGGAAGGATCTGGCGCCCCCTGCAGGGAGCAGCAGTCTGCAGGCTCAGCTCCTGAAACATCAGGCCGCCCTTTACGTCTTTGGTGAAAAGTCACATCTAAGGGTGAGAAGGAAGAGTTTAGTCCAACCATTTTACCTGGAATTCTTTTTTGTTTTAATTCTACAATATTTTTGAAACTCCATAAATTAAATTTTGATACATAGTTACAGTTTTGGAGGTCATTGATGTATTTACTTCTTTACAGCACTTAATCAATTTTATCAGGATCTATAAATATTTATTTTAGATCGTAGCTTTTTTTATTACATTTAAAACATAAAATGATACTTTCACTTCTTTACTTCAAAATTTAACATCTAGTTACACATTACAAATTTAAATATGACTGAAAAGCTTCATAAAAGAAGTTGTTTATGCACTCAAAAAATAAAGTGTTGAATTTACTTTACCAAGTTTGAGCAGTTTACATATTAAAAAAAAACTCTGCACAGTGGTTGCTTTAAAAAAGTAACTCCTCCTAGATTTTTTTTTACTATAATAAATGCAGAAGATAAGAATAGTCATAAAAGTTGAATTTATTTGTSTTGTCATTGATCCCTTTATTTCTGAACAATGTTTTTGTAGTTCAACCACTTCAGTGTTACAAACGCAGAAAAATAAATACAGTATATAGAGACTTATAACTTTTTATTTACAGTTCATATATTAGCTTTTGTATTAAAAAGAAATCTATTTCATCTGTTACCAAACTGATTTATCTCTTTGGTTGATAGGAAAATTGGGCTTTTGTTTGCAGGATTTGGTCAGTTTCGCAAAAACTCACAATAGCGAAGATTAACATCATCTACGGGAATATTCTGCTTTTCGTTTCTTTCAAAGCTCTTCAAACACCAACGGGAAGCTGTTGCATAAGTACTTTCAAGTGCCTTCATGTTGCTGTGAGAGCAAAGCCCAGAAAATGTAGTTTTTTTTTAACTTTCTAAAAGGATTTCATCATCAACTGTTTATAGAAGTGCTAGACTAAAATACAAGAACCCGGAAGATGAAGCCAGAAGAATTCCAGTATCATTTTAAGCCCCGCCCCCTCATTGTAAACAAACAAGACAATGGGCCTCATGCAAGAACCGTTCGTACGCACAGATTTGTTCTTAAGTTGTGTGTACGAGTGATTTAGGAGAATTTGTGGCATTCACCAATGTTTTCGTATTCTAAGATTTTTTTCAGATACGAACAAAATTCAGGAGTGGTCCAGACCTGTCGTATATTTTACGTGAAGTCAGTCTGTATGGCAAGCCGTTGGGGTCATAAATCGGGCGTGTTTTTACGTGCAAATCCTAACG